TGTGTGTGTGTGTGTGTGTGTGTGTGTGTGTGTGTGTGTGTGTGTGTGTGTCTAGACAGCTTGTCACAGTCTCCCTGCAGTGTGAAACTCTCCGTTCATCATTTCTCTCCTCCTTCCTCTACTCTCTTCTTATCTGATGATCGAGAGGGTTCCGCTAACAACCTGCACCTTTGACTATCTTCCTGCTCTCTGAACCCCTCTTCTCTCCTCCTCACTCTCGTCTGCTTTCCTGTTTTCTCGTCTCTTCTAATGATTACACATGCACGGTTCAAGCGTGCTTCAACTGCATAGCCATGCCCGTTCCTTCCTCTCCTCTCCTCTCCTCTTTATTTTTCTCCTCTCATGTTGCAGATGGATTCTTCTGATTGTTCCGGGCATCTGCCGGAGCTCGATGGACTGCCCGGCACTTCCTAAAATGAACCGGAAATGGGGAAGAAAAAAACTCGCAAAAACAGACTAAAGCACCACCGGGAAGGGAGCTGTCCTTCTAGGGGAATCGACTCAGCCTATTGCCCCCTGCCTCGCGCATGGGTCTGATAACACCAAGGACCAAAATGAAACAACTGCATTAAAAAACAAAGAAACAAACAAACAAAAATAAGAAATAAAAAAATCACCCAGCTGCATCAAGTCCCAACAAAGTGAACCTGAGGAGTGGGTTTCTCTGGGTCCAAGACACGCCGTCTCCCACCCGAGGAGTGGATCCCATGGCACCTTTAACCAATACCTGCTCTTTCCTTCATATATTTAGAGGCATGCATATTATATAGTCACAGAGAAGTTCCCAGTAAACCATAGGCAGAAAGGGAGTAAAGCAAAAGTGAGAGGAGGCTGTCACAGACTGTTTCGCCGGGAATTTCACCGAGTCATCAGGAGATATGAGTCGTGAAAAACGCTAGAGTGTTTCGACTTTCAAAGTGTAGTTATGGGTCAGATGTGGGAGAGCTTACTATACATGCCTTGAAGCTTGATGTGTTTCGTTCCACTTCGTCGGGTTTTTTTTTTTTTTTTTTTTTTTTCCCCTTGGTGTTTTTGAAATGTTCTTTGCCAAGAGCACTGCCCCACCCAAAGAAAAAAGTAAAAAAAATTAAAAAATTAATAATCAAGCTAAAATAGGAGTTTCTGAGCTGTTGATCTGTGCTGCAGGTTGTAATGCGTGCGTTGGGGCTGATTAGCACAATGCTTGATGCGGCTGGAGGGGACTTCATGGTCACGAGGATTCGAGAGGACGCTTGGCCTGTCATGGAGGGTTTCCTGCAGCTATCTTCTTCTTCGGGGGATCGGAGGAAGAGGCTTATGTCAAGGGACGATTTGTTGGTGTTGCCGCTGGCACCCGTATCTGGAACACCGGTTATAAGCAGCAGAGGGGTTTGGAGCCGGGGACCAACGGGACAGCACGAGGCGGAAAGCATGTCGCCGGATGCATTGGAAAAGGTTAGAAGAGCTGTGTTGAAGTGGATCATCGACGCAGCAACAGATACGCGAAGTGCCGGTGCACTGAGACTGGTGGTATCGTCTATGGTGAATACTGTGAAGCTTTTCCTTTCCGCCAAGGGACATGCAAAGCCACTGCAGGCTGCGGCAACATCGGCACTAGATGCGTTAACAAAGCTCAGCTTTTGAGAAGGTACCTCTTATCGACGTTTATAGCCTCAATTTAATTAAGGTCTGACCACTTTGAGCTCTCTGAGCACTTGGAGCACTTGGAGCACTTTGAGCACTTTGAGCACTTTGAGCACTTTGAGCGCTTCTAGCACTTTGAGCACTTAGAGCACTTCTAGCACTTTGAGCACTATGATGAGTGAGAAGTGAGCTTCAACCCTCAAGCATTATCAGTTGTTCTCTGCCTTGATCACTGAGGGAGGGAGGGAGGGAGGGAGGGAGGGAGGGAGGGACGGACGGAGGGAGGGAGGTGTGCTTGAGGCACTCGTGGTGCGAAGAAGTTACTTAGGACTCTTCAGTGTCTTCTTTGACTGGAAGTATATAGCTTTAGGCTATTCAGCAGAATTTGTGCAAAGATTAAATATTGATGGGGTTAGAGTAACAAGAACATGTCGCAATGTTTTATCACACCCCAATTTCACTGCTGCGGCAGATGTGATGAAGGGCTCGAAGGCACAGCAAAGGAAGTCAGGGGAAGATAACCCACTTGACTGAAAGGTGAGGCACGCAGCAGCGGGTGTCCAATGAGGATGTGTGGGTAAATGTACGGTTGTGCCAGCAATTCCCTCTTAAGTCAGCTAGAGTGAGTACGTTTGACGGTCAGAAGAACTAGTGTCCTTATATCTAACGCGCATGGTTCATCTGTCACGGATTTCAATACCTCTGTTTTTTTTAAACTAAAAGGGCCTTTACCCGATTCGGCCCCTGCTCAATGAAAGCAGTATATTGGGGTCCCTTGCCCAGAGCTCAATTCGTGAAAGCAGATCAAAGGACATGTTCTCTGGGTCAAAGGTCACATCCTAACTAAAGCAAAAGACATTGTCAAAGGTCACAGTTGTGCCCCTGGACGAACAGTTGCAAAATCTAAATGTTTGGGTCACATCTGTTCATCCAGGGGGTGTGCAAGTCATATCTGTTCATGCAGGGATGTGTCTATTCATGCAGTAAAAGTGTCTGTTCGTACAAAAGATGTGGCTGTCTAAAAAGAAGTCGAACAGATAAGTCCCAGTTCAGGTTCAAGTCAAGGGGAAAGTCTAGATACAGATAGGCAGTCCGAAATTCAGGCCTACAGGCCGTAGCAGCAGCAACCCTTGAAGGGAAAGAGTCTGGGACACATTCCACAGAGGCTGGGACTGGGAAAGGACCCAAGACAGACAAAATTCAGACCTCGTTTCGGGAAGCCAGCACTATAAGAAACGAGACTGCCTCCCCACAAGGCAGATTCCCACAGGCATTGATGCGTGGAAGTGCTGAGGCAGTTGTGCGCTATAATTCTGGGAGAGGCGCTGGCTGAAGGAGAGTTGCGCCAGGAAGAAGGGAGGCTGGGCGCTGGATGCAGAGAAGCCATAGTTGCGCCAGCTTATGTTAGTAGTAGAGAGTTAGTAAGTAGGATATCAGTGAGTGACATTCAAAGTAGATCTTCGTAGGTGAGAGTGTGCATGCAGAGTGAAGTGAGAGAACCAAGACATAGTTCTCAAGAGAGAGAGAGAAGAGATCAAGAGAGAGAGAAGACAGGAAGTGAGTCTGGATATGGTGGATACTTACCTGTTGGCGCCACATCTGTAATCTGAAGGAGGATGCTGGCTGAGCCAGATCCCATGCTGTTGTATGACAAGGAAGACTGTCTCTTGTTGGCGCTGATCTCTGGAACTCATGATACTCTTTGTATTCAGTGACATTGATAATATAAGCTGCGCTACCTGGTTCTTGTCTCATCTCAATCTGTTTTTGTGTGAAGCCATTTTGTACGTGGGATGACATGTATGCCTGCGGAATGATGCTCTCAAGCAAGCTGTGAACAGTCAGGTCTCTTGTAGAACCACTATCTATCATTCCCCCTAATCTTACTTTATTGACTTCAAGATCTGCAATTATTAGCTGTCCTTTTTGTCTTTTCGTTTCAGTCCAGGCTTGGCGACTTCAAGATCCATCTATGGCTTCTCTGCATTCAGCGCCCAGCCTCCCTTCTTCCTGGCACAACTCTCCTTCAGCCAGCGCCTCTCCCAGCATTATACCGCACAACTGCCTCAGCACTTCCACGCATCAATGCCTGTGGGAATCTGCCTTGTGGGGAGGCAGTCTCGTTTCTTATAGTGCTGGCCTCCCCAAACGAGGTCTGAATTCTGTCTTGGGTCCTTTCCCAGTCCCAGCCTCTGTGGAATGTGTCCCACACTCTTTCCCTTCAAGGGTTGCTGCTGCTGCGGCCTGTAGGCCTGAATTTCGGACTGCCTATCTGTAACTAGACTTTCCCCTTGACTTGAACCTGAACTGGGACTTATCTGTTTGACTTCTTTTTAGACAGCCACATCTTTTGTACAAACAGACACTTTTACTGCACGAACAGACACATCCCTGCATGAATAGATATGACTTGCACACCCCCTGGATGAACAGATGTGACCCAAACATTTAGATTTTGCAACTGTTCGTCCAGGGGCACAACTGTGACCTTTGACAATGTATTTTGCTTTAGTTAGGATGTGACCTTTGACCCAGAGAACATGTCCTTTGATCTGCTTTCATGAATTGAGCTCTGGGCGAGGGACCCCAATATACTGCTTTCATCGAGCAGGGGCTGAATCAGGTAAAGGCCCTTTTAAAACGATTGCTGAAGATTGGGTCAAAGCTGTGAAGTTGTAAACATGGAGGGGCAAAGTTGTAAAGTTGTTTTCATTTCTCTTCCTCATTTGGAGGGAAATGCATGGGTCCTGGAGACCATCTCACGCAGATGTGTACATATCATGCATCGTCTTCACACGCAGCGATCAATAGTATCAACCATAGACAAAGGTAGAGGAAAAAGGGATCGAGTTTCACTGCTTATATTATCAGAATTATGAATACTACTCCTGCAGATAACCTCCAGATCATCAATGTGATCACCACTCATCACCATCACCTTTGCAGCCACATTCAACTCAGGTAAGTATCTTCCATAGCCGAATCTTGAATGAACACTCGCAACCTCAATCCCTTCCTCCTACGATGCATACACACCCTTCATTCATGAGGATCTACTYTGAATACTACTCATAGCTACATACTAACCCACTACCACTAATGCTAACTTGCTGGGCAGCTATGGCTGCATCACTTCCAACATGCAATCCTCTTCCCTCACTCAGCGCATCTACTTCCTCCAGCRCTGCTCCTACTAACTTAACGCACAAGTGCTCCAGCACTTCCACSCTGATACAGCCAGTGGAGATYTGGCGAGGAATGAGGCTGGCTGCCTCCTTYATACTCCTCGYTGGGTYTGCRWTGGCTCAATYCAGCCTCTTTCCTTGTCCCAGACCCTGCATTGCATGTGTCCCAGTAGAGTCCCAATGAAATTCRACTGCTGCTGAGGCCTCCCGGCCTGAATTTGGACTTGAAAGTCTGGATCTGGACTGACCCCTGGACTTAGACCAGAACTGGGACTRTGCCTATTGACTTTACTTTCSGACAGGCACAACTCTCAACGAACAGACATTTACTGCTTGAACAGACACTTTACTTTGCATCAACAGGTACACTGTCTGCACATACAGACACACCCTTACCCGAACAGACATGACATACACATCTCCTGGTGAACAGGTAAGTCTTTTGACAATGCCCTTTGCCTTAGCTTTAGATATGCCTGTTGATAGAGAGCTTGACCTTTGACGTGCTTTCACGTTTCTGAGCTCTGGCGAGATACCTTTTCACAATGCTTTACTTTTTCAAGGTCCGTGCTGCTTTATTTTACAAGACCTGAGGGCTATATCGGGTAAAGGCCCTTTTACTCTCGCCGGCCTAAATTCGAAGTCCTCTGAGAATCATTTACCTATCAAGGATATGAATTCCTCTCTTTGCACTTTCGTATGCAGATACAATATGAGGTGCAGATTCTAACAGTTCTTCTTTTGTGAACCAGCGATCTTCACTAGGATCCTGGTATGCAAATCTCACCTTATACTGTCGTTGTGGTCTGCCCCTACGTCCAGTGTGGTAAGTACTTTCTGCAACAATCTTATCCACGTCATACTTCCCATCCATACTTGGAGGTATCGCTGATCGGCGACTTGGGAAGAGCTCATTCGGTACACAAGGTAAGAGCTTGGACGCATGGAACACTGGATATGTACGTAGATGAGGAGGAATTTCAATGACATACGAAGGACCATCCACATCTCCAATTACGTTTAGAATCTGCCAAGGTCCTCTGTAGGTGGGTAGAAGCTTCTGAGAAATGTTCTCTTCAAGAGCAAACTCTTTAGACTTTACCCAAACCAAATCTCCTACATCAAATTGAGATGGGCGCCTATGTTTATTTGCCTGTTCAATCATTTGATGCTGTGCTTTAAGTATATTTTCTTTTACCTTCCCAATGTCTTTCTGATATTGGACTGCAAATTCACTAGTCCCTATAGGAAGCTTATGTACTTGATCCGGGTTCAACCAATCAATGGGTCTGCGTAGACGCCATCCCAGATGTAACTCCATAGGAGTCTTACATGTAGATAGATGTACAAAGTTATTATAGGCACTGGCAACTTTAGGCAGATGTTCGTCCCAATCAATCTGATCAGGACGGATGTACATGCGTAAAGTTTGCTGCAAAATCTTGTTCATCTGCTCAGTCTGGCCATTAGTCTCAGGATGTCTACCTGATGACATAGTCAACTTAGAGCCATRAAYATTCATCAGTTGCTGYCATTGTTCACTCGTGAACCTGGWATCTCTATCACTYACAATAGTTAAGGGATGTCCAAAGTCTTTTATCCAATGGTTAAAGAATTCCCGAATTACCAATTCAGTCTTTGCTTCCGCAGGTAAAGCTACAAAAACAGCATACTTAGTGAATCTATCCACTATGACCATTACTTGCGTTTTCCCATTCCTGCTTTTGACCTTAGTATCCATGAAATATATAGAGACAGAGTCTCCAGGGCCGGTAGGGATAGGTAAGGGCTTAAGTAGCCCCAGGGGCGATTGCGTAGTGTTTTTGTTTCGTTGGCATACTTGGCAACCCTGCACATACGCGATACAGTCTGCTTTCATTCGAGGCCAGGTGTAGGAACGCAACAAAGTTCCGTAGGTCTTCTTCCATC